GAGAGCTTCATTATAACATGTCTTGGGGTAGACTTACATCTTGAGGTTAAATTTAATCTGATTGATAAACGCTTACCTACTTGTACCTACATAGTTATATCTTCCTCTAGGTTTGGGAAATTTTCTATCATCATGTTTTTGAATATACTTTCTACCCCTTTGCCATTCTAAAGTTCTTCTTAAATCATAATAATTCAGTTATTTGCTAAATTCCTGTTGTCCCAGTTTTTCTACAAGCTTTGATCATTTTTCTTGATACTCTTTTCTTTTCTGTATATTCACTGTGTATTTTTAAATACCTTGTCATTGAGTTCACTGTTTGTTATTTCCCAACTATGATATTTTTCTATAGCGTTCTTAATTTATCTTAGCAAGCTTGCTTACTTCAGGTATTTCTCTCATATTTTTGAAAATTACTGCTGTTTGTCAAGTCTCTCTATTAGAATCTTAAATTACTTCTCTGTGTTCACTTGAAATTCATTGAGTTCTCTTTTTTAAAAAAAATTATTTTGTTTATTTTGAAAGAGTGACATAGAGAGAGAGGGAGAGACAGAGAGAGCACTTTTTCATCTGCTAGTTCACTCACCAAATGGCTGCAATGCCTGGGGATAGGCTAGGCCAAAGCAAGGAGCTTCTTCTGGGTCTCCCACTTAGATTCAGGGGCCCAAGCAACTGGGCCATCCTCTGCTGCTTTCCCAGGCATATTATCAGAGAGCTGGATCAGAAGCAGAACAGTTAGGGATGCTGACTTTGCATGTGATGGATTCACTCACTACATCACATTGCTGGCCCTTCATTGAATTTTTAAAACTAACATTTTGAATTCTCTATCAGAGTAATTGAGTTTTTTAGTTACCAGGTAGGTAGTTTCTGGTACATCTTCTGTTTGCTAGATATGGTCATAGTGTTCAGTATTCATGATATGAGTTGACATACAGTATTGTCCATACATTGAAGAATTAGTTACAGCAATCTGTGCTTGTTGTTGTCCTAAGAATTATTTTTATATACATTTATTTTTTAAGGAATACAAATTTTAAGTGCAACTTTAGGATATAGTTATTCTTCCCACCACATCAGCCCTTCCATCTATACTCTCATCCCTCCTCCTTCTCCCTCTCTTCTTCCCAGTCCCATTTTCCATTAAGATTTATTTTCAATTAACTTTGTATAGAGAAGACCAACTCTATACTAAGTAAATGTTTCAACAATTTGCACGCGCGCGCACACACACACACACACACATAAACTGTTTGAGAATTGGTTTCACAGTTAACTCTCATACGAAATAATTGAGGTCAGAGATCCTGCATGGGGAGTTAGTGTACAGTGACTCCAGTTGTTAATTTAACAATTCACACTCTTATATATGACATCAGTGACCATCCAAGGCTCTTGAAATGAGCCATGTAGGCTATGGAAGCCTTTGAGTCCACAAACTGTCAGTATTTGGATGAGGTCATAAGTAACGTGGAACTTTTCTCCTCCCTTTAGAGAAAAGTACATCCTTCTTTGATGGCCATTTCTTTCCACTAGGGTCTCACAGAGATCCTTCATGTAGAGCAACTTTTGCCACGTTGTCTTGGCTTTCCATGCCTGAAATGCTCTCATGAGCTTTCCACACAGATCAGAAAGTCTTAAGGGATGATTCTGCGGTCAGAATATTACTTTAAGTGATTTTCCTTCTATGAGTCTACTGTGTGGACTGCTTTCCATGTTGGACATTTTCTTCTTTTTAATTCTATCTATTAGTATTACCAGGCACTTGATCCTATTTACATAATCTCTTTAACACTTAATCCTATCTATATGTTCACTCTAACACTTAAAACCATCACTTTAACAATTAAGATGGCATTTTTACCACCAAGTTCAATGGGATTTAGAGTCCCATGACAAATTTTTAAACTGTACCCTTAGAAGTAAGTCCATAGGAAGGTATGCAGAACTAGACAACTTTACACTTACAAATTCCTTTGAGGTCTGAGAAGATGCATGTCAAAGAGACCCAACAGGCCAGTCCACAGCTTTGGTTTATATGGAAAGTCAAGGCTTCAGCAGAAGTCAGTTTATGAAGAGCCCTGGCAGCTCTGCCAGCCATGAGTTGATTGCTGGAAAATAGAACTGCCCTGGAGTTGAAGGACTTCAGGTCAGAGCCATAGACCTTGCTGGTTCTAAGCTGAAAAACCTTTTACTCGGACCAGCTTCCAAAGTAACCACCACTGCTGAGGGGACGGCCAAGTAGGATCAGCAACATTGCCAGCAGAATTGTAAATTTTCTGTTAGAGATGCCACCTGCTTTCACCTGGCCAGCTCTCCTCCCAGGCCAGCTAGGGTGTCTTCCCAAGGAGGTTCACATCTCCCTTAGGATATGCTCTGTATGAAGAGATAACTCAGCAGATAATTATCAGGCCCATTCTGTCAGTTTCTATTGGCCTCTTAATCTGGAAACTTATTTGTTGCTTAGACAGCACCTTTCTTAGGTCCCCAATAATGACTCTGTCCTTTTTTCTAGACTCTGTCCTCACCCACTTGGGGCCTCATATCTTTGTAATCATAGTCTCTATTCCATCATCAATGGCTCTACTCCCAAAATGTCCTAGGAATTCTAAGTAATATATTTCTTTTCACTGAGCTGATAGACCCTCCTGCTATTTTGTCACTAAATGAGACCTGAAGTTGAGGTTTGCCACAGTTCTGTTGTTGGTGTTTTGTTGATGTTTAAATCCTGGAGGGTTACCCAAGCTCAAATTTATCCTAAAAATTCAGTTGGTATATTATTCAGAATGAACTGGGAAGTGTTTAGACATCCTGGTAAGCCTCTTTCCTATAGCTGAGGTTAAAACCAGATGCCTAATTCTATGGCCACCAATACCATAATGCCCATATTGTACTAAGATGACTACTGCTTGCATGTGGGAAGTCCACAAAGTCCACGCCACTACGGATTGTCTGCCCAAGGCCACTCCTACTAGCCACAGGGGATGCTGGCTTGGTTATAAGACAATGAAATAGAGTTACAGAACTCCACTTGGCACCAGAACAAGTCTAGGATCTATCTAAAGTCAATTGTCTGGAGACGGAGACCATTACTATCTGCCCAGTGTTGAATTTTACCAGCACAGCACAGTACAATATGCTTTTATTGCTGCCTGCCTAGGTTTGGTGAAGAGTGATAAAAGCAGTGCATTTGCTGTTTAGATAGGCACTAGGCCAGGACATATGTGAATAGCAATCATCAGGCCCTACACAGTCTCAAGGGTTCCAGACCTATGTGAGACTTCCAGTCATACGTGGTGTTCCACCAGGGCACAAGGCTCTGCTCAATGTTGGAGCATGTCTAAAGGCTCCTCTTGAGAACACTGGACTGTCTCCCTACTGTGCTACTTGAGGGGAGATGTCTTTCCATCTTTATTCAATTTGTTTTTTCTTCTTATTATTCTAAAACAATGCATCAGACTTTTGAAGTTGTTGTGAAAGTAACTGCTTACATAAATGGCCTCTCTGTAGTGGGATGATTGCTAGAGATTCAGTCACCATGTTAATTAACTTTGTTTTTGCTTTTTGCTGTATTGATATTTCTTGTTATTAGGTTTCTTTAAGTCTTACTAAATAATTTGGGCTCCTATTTTTATTTCCTTCTTTATACTTTGATTTATTCTATTATTGTTTTATACTTTGATTTGAATCTTTGCTCTTATTTTAAATTTTTCTTATTGTTTTAAGGACTCAAATGCTACCTGTTTCTTTGAAAAATTTTATATCCATGCTACAAGTTTTGTGGTTGCTTTCACTGTATTTTAATTCTCAACTTCTTATAATTTATAAGTTGTCATTTCTAATGAAATGTTTAGAGTGGGATGACCTCAAGGGGTCCGTGCTAAGAGCCTGAACTCTGACCTACACTGCAGGACTAAGTAAAGTGATGTCTAACCTGCACTTTGAATAAGACCAATGAAAAGAGTGCATCTGATTGCTATGGTTTCCAGAACATTTACCCATTTCTGTCACTCTGCCTTAGCCTTTTTGTCTTTTTCCTCTTTCATAATAGTATGCTTATATATATTTAACACAGAAGGTCCTCAGTGCATAGCTTAGAAAACAACCTTATCAGAAGTTCACAAAAATGTTTCTTAGAAATTCAGTGTTCTAATTTGCCTTCTGACAATTTGTTAGCTCTTCAGAGATACCAGTTGTTGAAGCAGGAAGCTTTGTTAACTGTCTTTGAAGAAATTGTGAATGTTTTAGTAGCATTCAGGTGTGAAATTACCTATTTACTAAGCCAAGAGTTATCAAGGTACAATAGAAACAATTGCACTAAAAAATTAGGATGACTATTTAGGAGAGCATAAAGCAGATTTGTCATTTCAAATAAGTAAATATATTTCTTACATTTCATAGCTATTGGGTAATATGTGGTTATTAATAGTTAAATATTTCATTTTAAAATATTTTTAATAAGAATGAAAAATGCTTATGACATTTAGGTTGAAATAAAGATGGAATCATGTGACATAAAGAAAAATTACAAAAACATCTAAAAATTATGATTGACAGATTTAAGAAGATTAGAGCAATGATGCTAGTTTTATCCTCTCATGTCAGAACTAGAGTGATGGCACTGTGTATTTTTAAAATGAAAACTTGAAAGCTTGTGAAAGCAAAAAAAAAAACCTATCATACAAAATAACAAAAATTAACACTGTGTATCTTTAAAATAACCTATGTTGAGAAAGGTAGAAATATATCTATAATCAACACTCTGATAGAAAAATCAGAGCTGCAAAGAACTGACATATTTCTTGTTTATATTTTAATACACAAGAAAATTCATTTATTTGCATTTTTCATGTATGGCAAGTACTCCCCAAATGCTATCTTATGAATGAATAAAAGTCATGAAAAACAGCTAATTTCTTTCTGAAGCCAATGAAGTAGCTACAAATTAAAGAGCTGTGTGCAAATATGAAAAGGTATCTCCTTTGTTTCTCTCCTTTCAGCTCCAGAAAGGCAAAGAGTTGGTGAAGAAATATGCACTTTATCCAGATTTACAAAAGAAGTGCAAATTTGGTAATATAGTTTAATGATCAGTTTAAGAATTTTTGTGGGGCCATGTGAGATGATGGTATGTGCTATAGTAAAGCAGAGAGAACACATTCTTCACAAACGATCACTTCGAAAAGTTCTTGCAAGTTATATGCAGATAATAGTTAAAACTGTGATTAAAATATCTTTCAAGAAAGTGATGTAGAATATTCAATTGAAACAGCAAAGTGCACAGTATAACATTTCGTTAATATGTAATAGTATGTTTTTTGCTCTTTCTCCTGTCAACCCACAATGCAGGTCCATCTCCACAGCAAGTTCTGTCTTTCACCAATACTGGGGTTTGTGTAGGCCACTGACATGTGGATTGTTCTCAAGACCCTAAGATAGTTTATTTTCTTGTCATCTTCCTCCCATGCCCTCCTGAATTTTTCTTTCATTTCTGGTTGCATATTCCTCTCCACCAAAACCCTTCCAGTGTCAAGCAGCACTATAACCATCAATCCTTAGTTCTTGTTGCTCTCTCCAAATTTACACAGATTTGACCTCTCCTGTTGAATTTTTCTTTGTCTCTTCAAGTCCTAATTAACATACTTAGCTTGTGATGGCTTAAGTAAAACTAAATTCTAATTTGGTTCTCCAAAATAATCCAACTCAATAACAGAAGACCAGGCTACATGCCTGAATTTACTTCCTGCTAGTGCACACCCTAGCCAGGAGTTGAACAGGATATAGCTCAGGTAGTTAGATTCCTACCACCCATGAGAAAGAGCTGTACTGAATTCATGTTTCCCTACAGCTCCGGCTGTTGTGGGCATTTCATTTGGATAGTGAGTCAGCAGATTTGAACACACTTGGTTTCTGTCTTTTTTCTCTCTTTCTCTCTCTCTGTATTTTTGTCTGTTTCTATGTATCTCTACTTCTCAATTAAATTTTTAAAATTTAAAAAAAATTAAAAGAAAAATATTCTTGAAAACAAAAGCTGTAAAGATAAAGAATGAGTGGAGAATGAGCTAGAGGATTTAACAATGAAACTATCTTGAAAGAAATCAAGAATATTGAAAAAAAAATATGAACCCCTCCTCTTTAGAACTATCCTCCTATAGCTATTGGTAAAGTTGAAATATGAGTTTTAAGAAAGAATGGTAGAGCTAAACTGAAGTTTTCAAAATGTGTAGCATACATTGGCACAAAGCCATTGTTAATAAAGTATTATTTTGAAAGTACATATGCAGTCATATCAATGCTACTGGCTTTATTGGATATTGTCCAGAACTTTTGTCCACTAAAGCTTCAAAATTATTTAAAGCATCTAGAGATGATGGGTGCCTGAGCTCCTTAAAACTCCCAGGTCACTATGTTAGGGAAATGTGTTCACTCTCTCCCTCTCTTCTTCCCTGATATTCTTTCATGTATATAAGAATCAATTATATTTGTCATGATCCTCTTATTATCAGAAAGAAAGCAAAGAATTTTATTAAAATCTCATGGAAAGAAAAGAAAAATGGAAAGATTTAGTTTTTTTGTAAGAATGTCATTATTAGAAGGTGGAACTGTTAATTCACTTATTTATAACCCATCTATTCCTCAAAGGAATAGGAGTAGGTAATATAAGAGGTGCTGATTATTCCTTTATGTGGTATACTGTAATCACTGTTTTATTTTAATTAAACTCTTAAAAACCATAATTTTCTAATAGTCTCACTCACTTGTCAGATTCTCAGTTTTATTTTCATTTTCTACAAGATCTGATGTATTGTAATTGCAGGAGGATTTAAAAAATGTATCCAAAGTTAGCAACAGAATAGTATGTGTGACAGTCTCTCTCTCAAGTATCTGGCACACTGAAGCCTGCAAAGTAGTGTCTTTTATTAAAACTGAAAATAGAAATTCTAACATACAAGCTATTTTTTTCAAGAACAAGATATTTAATTGATTTCTGCAATATTATTTACAGACTTCTCAGTCCCAAAGTTAAGACTATTTGGAGATATCTTTCTTTGCAATCAGTGGTGGCACACTATGACAAAAGCCCAGACTTTGAGACCAAGAAGCAGAAGCAAATAACCACTATGTACAAATGGAGGGTGATGGTATTTGAAAAAAGTTTATGATCATTTCAGAAATGTATACATCTATTTTTGTATAAATTTTGAAGCTAAATATAAAATTGGAAGGATAGGAGTCAATGGGAGTTGGTCATTTTCTTTGTTGACAATACATTTAAGAAATATGTGATATTCCTTCCTTATTCCATGGCTCAATAGGCTAATCCTCCGCCTTGCGGCGCTGGCACACTGGGTTCTAGTCCCGGTCGGGGCACTGGATTCTGTCCCAGTTGCCCCTCTTCTAGGCCAGCTCTCTGCTATGGCCCGGGAGAGCAGTGGAGGATGGCCCAAGTCCTTGGGCCCTGTATCCGCATTGGAGGGTGAACCAACGGCAAAAGGAAGACCTTTCTTTCTGTCTCTCTCTCTCTCTCACTTCCACTCTGCCTGTCAAAAATTAATAAAAAAAGAAATATGTGATATTCCTTCCTTATTCTTGAATTGTCTAATTGCCTAACAATGAAGTTCATTTGAAAATAGCTTTGGTTGTTGATCCAAGAGCTCCAGGGTAAAGTTAAACATTTCCTCTGGTTCAAATTCATGATAAAAGACGTGATGCCTGTTTTGTCTTTTCAGCAAAACAATGTTAACAGGCATTGAAAGTTTGCATAACTATACTTTCACAGTAAAAAGAAAAAAAGAAAAAAAAAGGAAAAATTGGATTCCTTTGGAGAAATGTTTGATTTAAGGACTGGGCAGGAAATATGCATGATAAGACTGGAACACACCACACAGAAAGCAAGAGATGTGTGCACAGTGCTCAGATGGAGAGGTTGTCACTGATTCCAAAAGATAATGAGATCATCCATAAAAATAATAAAAAGATTAGACTGCACTACATCACATATTTTTGTGGGCTCATAATGATGCTAATACATTAATTAATAGTTCATCATTGGACTATGTCAGTGAACTAACCATTAATTTGACAACTGGAAACAAAGAGAAAAGGAATCAAGCATATCTGAATGCCTGCTCTTGTCACAAAAATAGAGACAACCACTTACATGTCCCCAGGTGGAAGAAGGTGCTCTTCATGTAAAGTAATCTTTCTGAAAAATGAAGAAAATTAAACTGAGAGTTTCATAGACTCAACAAAAATCCAGACTGTAGGAAATTTCAAAGGGCATATTACCTTTCTTGCACAAAGAAATTACTTGAGAAAAAAAGAAAATAAAACACATCCTAGATGAAAAGATGAAGACACATCCTGAGCCGTCGGGATATGTGGACCTTTCAGGCTGCGCAGGTTACCTGATGTGCCTTAATGAAGATGCCTCACTCTGTTCCTGGCACCCTGAGCCCATTTCCACCCATGATGATTATTATCTTTTCAAAGGAGAAGGAAAACTATATTTTCACTTTTTGAATGAATGAAAGGTGATGGAATAAAGTATTGTCAACTAATTGGGTAGAATGTATTATATTTATAGTGTATAAGTGTTTTTTGACTTTTCTCTAAAATCTGTCTTCATTTCTTCCCATTTTGGAGTGTTGACAATATTTTATGTAGACAGCAGCCTGAAATTAGCAGCAGAGAGGGTCACTTTTCTCTTGGGAATCTGAAAAGACTGTAGGAATGGATAACATCTGACTTCTCCTGACTTGTTTATTATGACATTTATTGCAGAAACTGGATCTTCCATCGGAATTTCCCCAGTGTCACGTTCTATTTTGATATGATATTCAGCTTCCTGTAAGCAGCATCTCTCAATATTATCCATTAGTGACATCAATTCATTTTGTTACAGTTTTGATTTTTGCTTTTCTCTTTTTAACTTGTTCAGAATTGATTTTTCTTGAGTTTTTTTCTTTTTAGACTTAACAGCTATAAAAGTGATTTCCAAAGGAGTAAAGAGCTTATGATACAATTAAGATATAGTTCAGTTAACAAAAAATGAAACTTAGCATGGCATCCTAAGACTATATATTTTGGGGCCAGCATTGTGGAGTAGCTGGTAAAGCTGCCACCTGCAGTGGCAGCATACTATATGGGCACCAATTTGAGATCCAGCTGCTCCACTTCTGATACAGCTCCATGCTTATGTACTAGGAAGGTAGTGGAGGATGACCCAAGTGCTTCAGCCCCTGAACCTAAATGGGAGATGCAGAAGAAGCTCCAGGCTCCTGGATTCAGTCTGGCCCAGCCAGGGCCATTGCAGGTATTTGGGGACTGAACCAGCAGTTGGAAAATCTCTCTCTCTCTCTCTGCTACTCTGCCATTCAAATAAAGAAATGAATCTTCAAAAAGAATATATATTATTTTCTAGGTATAATATGATTAGCTAAAATAAGTTAGTGAAACAGACACAGAAAATTTTAATTTTGAAATTGTTATCCCTGGCAAAGCCAATGTGAGAATTATTTAAGACGTTTCATACTGTCTCAACTTTTTAAACATATATTTGAAAGCATATAAATATAGTTATTACTTGTATATATATATGCATATAAGTATGTTTACATATTCATATATGCATATATTTAGATATACATTACATATGATATGTAATAACACATCATATATACATATAAATATGCATACATATAATTTGAGTTTGAAAACACAGAAATTCTCAATATCACTACCTTCATTCTTTGTTCCCCTAGTGACAGTGTTCCTATCAAGGTCTCTAGCTGGCAACAGTCATTTAGCTTCAGGAGTAATTCAGAACCCCAGCATGGATAATTTTTAGATTTGGATCAGAGAATATTCACATCCCTGTGGGTCTCTTAGAACAATGGACAGTCTCCAGGAATATTACAGCAAAATGGGGACAGTGAGGAGAGTTTTACTTCCAATCTTATTAACAGAATCTGTATCCCAAGACAGAGTACTCTTAGGAAATCAGACCCAGGTGATTTCTTACTGCCTTTCTCCAAACCAGACAGGTGCTTCCTCTGCTTCCCACAATACCAGCTGTATGATACTGATAATGTCATGTTTTAGAAAGTCTGCCCCAGTAATTTGTCACTCCTTATGATCTAAGGACTGTGGGATTATAAAAATTAGCAAGCAAAGACATGGGTTATTCATTCTTCTTAAGGTCTAGTGGGGGAGATGGATGGTAACCAAATAATCACAAAGGTAAATTTGAAATTATAAATATGTAAGTGGTATAAAGGAAGCACATGGTGCCATCAGATTTTTTCCAGAATTTAGAATATTTACATTCATATATGTATATGTGTGTGTGTGTATATATATATAATGAAGAGTCTTGGTATTGAATTCAAATCTAAACAAAAATTCATTTGTGTTTCATATATACCTTGTACACATAGCCTGAAGGCTATTTTATACAATATTTTTAGAGTGCTGGCATTTTGACTGCAACACATCACATGAGATACAAACCTTTCCACATATGGCATCATATCGGTTGGTCCTCAGAAAGTTGTAGATTTTGGAGAATTCTGCATTTCACATATCTGGATGAGATATGTTCAAGGTATACTGATATATATGATAAGGAATTGGTTCATGTGGTTATGGAAACTGATAAGTCACAAGATCTGCAGTTGGCAAGCTGGAGACCCAGGGGAGCCAGTGATGTAAATTCAAGTTTGAGTCTGAGTCCAAAGTCAGGAGAGGATGGATGACTCAGATCAAAGACAACCAGGTGGAGAGAATGAATTCTCCTTACTTGGCTTTTTTGTTATGTGTAGGCCTTCAAGAGATTGGATGAAGCCCAAATACTTTACTCAGTCTGCAGATTTGAGTATTAATTTCATTCAGAAACATCCTTACAGGCACACCTGGCACAATTCTTTACTAAATATCTGGACTGTCATGGCCCCATGAAGTTAACATAAATTAGCCATCTGTTTTTTTCCTAATTTTTGAATACCTTGTGCTCCAGGGTTTTGTTGATCTTGTGAGCAATCTAATATCTTTTCAGTAAATCTTTGTGTAAGACCACTATAATCATTTTATTTTCTCCTTTATTAATATTTATTCTAGGAATAATGTATATAAATTTGTAATATCTTATAAAACACAATATTATATCTAATGTTTTAAATATTCATGCTACATTGTAAAATTCATGTTTTAGACACATGTTTCTCTTAGCCATGCTCAGAAAAGATTGGTATCGGTAGGAATATAGAGGTTAGAGAATTAAGAGTGGATGTTTGGAAAATATTAGGAAGAAATTATAATTCATATTTTCAGGAATAGCTATAGACACAAGGATATAATTATAGATTTAACAGTTACAGGATTGATGATGGATAACATTTAAAATGTGAGAGGGAGGCCGGCGCCGCGGCTCACTAGGCTAATCCTCCGCCTAGCGGCGCCGGCACACCGGGTTCTAGTCCCGGTTGGGGCGCCGGATTCTGTCCTGGTTGCCCCTCTTCCAGGCCAGCTCTCTGCTGTGGCCAGGGAGTGCAGTGGAGGATGGCCCAGGTGCTTGGGCCCTGCACCCCATGGGAGACCAGGAAAAGCACCTGGCTCCTGGCTCCTGCCATCGGATCAGCGTGGTGTGCCGGCCGCAGCACACCGGCCGCGGCGGCCATTGGAGGGTGAACCAACGGCAAAGGAAGACCTTTCTCTCTGTCTCTCTCTCTCTCACTGTCCACTCTGCCTGTCAAAAAAAAAAAAAAATGTGAGAGGGAGTAAAGAGTCAATTATAATTCCCAGGTTTCTGGCATGTGAGAATGAATGAAGGAGAGTTGTGTTCATTAAGATGAGAGTATGGCAGAAGGAACATGTGTTAGATTTTTGCTCAAGAAATGTTACAGCAGAAGGCTCTCAGTAGTTAATTTCTAGAAAAGTTAAGAACTACTATTCATTTGGTATCTAAGTAAAAATGCCAAGTAGGCTGCCAGATGTACTATTCTGGAACTCAGAGCATAATGTTGGGGAAGAGTTACTTGGAGAGAGATTGTGTCATTCCTCAAGCAACAAATATCTCAGGTTGGCACTGTAGGCTAAGCCTCTGTGGTGCCAGCATCCCTTATGGGCACTTGTTCATGTAGCTTCTCTTCCAATCCTGCTCCTTGCTAATGGCCTGGGAAAGCAGTGGAAGATGGCTCAAGTCTTTGGGTTCCTGCACTCATGTAGGAGACCCGGAAGAAGTCTCCTGACTTCAGACGAGTCCAGCTCCAGCCATTGTTGCAGCCATTTGGGAAGTGAGCCAGTGGATGGCAGACCTTTCTATCTGTCTCTCCCCCTTTCTCTCTGTAACTACCTCTCAAATAAGTGAAGAAAATCTTTTTTTTTTTTTTAAAGAAACAGAGCCAGCACTGTGGTACAATAGATTAATCCTCTGCCTGCAGTGCCAGCATCCAATATGGGCACCGATTCTAGTCCCAGCTTCTCCTTTTCTGATCCAGCTCTCTGCTATGGCCTGAGAAAGCAGTTGTAGATGGCCCAAGTACTTGGGGCCCTGTTCCTACATGGGAGACTCGGAGGAAGCTCCTGGCTTCTGGCTTTGGATCAGCCCAGCTCCAGCCCTTGAGTCCATTTGGGGACTAAACCAACAGATGGAAGACCTTTCTCTGTCTCTCCCTCTCACTGTCTGTATCTTTACCTCTCAAACAAATAAATTGAATCTTAAAAAAAAAATAAACAATTATCTCTTTGGTAAGCCACCTCTCTGGATTCAGAAGGTATTTCCTTCTTTGAATGATTTATTAAGATCTAATATCTAGCTTAACTCTAGTAAGTAACTTCTGTTGTCCATCTTATGAGGATTTCCTTGTATATGCAGACTTGAGACATATAACTGAAAAATTCACCTTCTCCATAACGTGTCAGTCCATGGAAAGTGTGAAAAAGTAAGTTGTCATTTAATTATGCATTCCTTGTATTGGTTCTGTGATAACATGCTCTGATAGGCTGTGGTTTCATACCATCTCTTGGAAATATCCAATTTGAAAAAATAACCTGGGCCGGCACCACGGCTCACTTGGCTAATCTTCTGCCTGTGGCGCTGGCACCCTGGGTTCTAATCCTGGTTGGGACACCAGTTCTGTCCCAGTTGCTCCTCTTCCAGTCCAGCTCTCTGCTGTGGCCCAGGAAGGCAGTGAAGGATGGCCCAAGTGCTTGGGCCCTGCACCCACATGGGAGACAAGGAGGAAGCACCTGGCTCCTGGCTTCATATGGTGCAGCGTGTCGGCTGTAGCGGCCATTTTGGGGGGTGAACCAACGGAAAAGGAAGACCTTTCTCTGTCTCTCTCTCTCTCACTGTCTAACTCGACCTGTAAAAAAAAAAAAAAGAAAAGAAAAAATAACTTGTTGTGTTTTCTCTAAAGTCTGGGCCATCTATGCAAGACACAACCATATTTACATTCCACCTTTTCTGCTTACTAATCACTTTTCCTTATTTTGCTGCCATATCTGTGATTGTACTCCTAACTGCAGTGAAACGATTGCAAGTAAGCTTGGCCTTAAGATTGGTTTCTAGAGAACCAAGATTTAGAAATGAGTGATTCTTTGTTTTTGCGAGATTGCATTAGTATTACCTATAGTTTAACTTATATTACAAAAATAAATACTGAATAAATACGAAATATTTTTATTTTTCATTTTTTTCCAAGATAATATTGTATACCTCATCTACAACATTCTCTAGAGTTCTTATTTGATTTTGTAGTGGCAAATACTATGCCAGTAAAAAGCTTTGTTCAAACTTTCATAATGAAATATTTCATTAGAAATACTATCCATTAATTAGCTTGACTTATTTTCTCATAATATATCACTTTGCAACAATAACATTAAGTTTTACCAGTAGTATATGTAAACACATTATAGAAAACCCTGAAGTTCATTAAGTAGATAGGCCAAGGCTATGAGCAGTGCTGGAGGACAGATGACTTCACATAAGTGTTACACTACTGAGGAGAGCATAATTAGCATTGGCATTTGGTAAAGCAATTTGATTAAATTCAGTAAGAGCCTAAACTTATTCATATAATTTTTACTTTAAAAACATTAGTCTACATTTCCTTTATTTATAAAGGAAAAATGAAATGCAATGGACAAATTATGTTCAAATGCAAATTTTCATAAGAAGTACTTGAAAATGTTCTATACATTCTACATTTTAATATAATACTAAGTGTATTTTAAAAAATTTCTTCATTTATTTATTTGAAAGGCAGAGTGATGCAGAGAGAAAGACAGAAAGGGTGAGAGAGAGAGAGAGAGAGAAGGAGAGACAGAGATTCATTTTGCTGTTTCACTCCCTAAAGAGCCAAAACAACCAGATCTGGGCCAAAGCCAGAAGCCAGAACACCACTCCTTCTTGCCGTTTCATATGGGTGGCAAAGCCCATGTATTTGTGCCATAACCTACTGCCTTCTCAGGAGCGTTAGCAGAAAGCTGGATTGTTAGCTGAACAGACAGGACTGGAACCAGCACACCTATAGAGAGTGCAAGTGGCAGTTTAGCACAGTGCACCACAACATTGGCCCCTTACAATAAGCCTATTATGAATTGTGTTGTGTCTCCCCAAAAATATGTTGAAATCCTAATCCCCAGAACCTGTGGTTGTGAGTTTGTTTGGAAATAGAGTCCCTGAGGAGGTGATTTCTGTCTTAGATCTTTATGATATGATGATGGAGGTGGGCTTTAATTCAATATAACCAATAGAGTCAAAGGGGAGATGGCTATCTAAAGACAGAGAAGATGCTGGAGTGAAGCTGTAAGAATCCAAATATCACTTCTAGTTGCCAGAAGCCGGGGGAGACAAATAATGATTCTTCCACAGGGGCTTCTGAGAAAGCATAGCTCATTCGCCATCTTGATTTTGGGCTTTTATTCGCTACATCTGATAGAAAATAAATTTCTGTTGTCTTTTTTTTTTTTTTAAAGATTTATTTATTTGAAAAGCAGAGTTAGAGACAGGCAGGGATAGAGAGGGAGAGAGAGACAGAGGGAGGTTTTCCACCTGCTGGGTCACTCCCCAAATGACCACAACAGCCAGAGCTGGGCTGATCTGCAGCCAGGAGCCAGGAGCTTCTTCTGGGTCTCCCACGTGGGTGCAGGAGTACAAGGACTTGGACCCTCTTCTACTACCTTCCCAGACCATAGCAGAGAGCTGGATGGGATGTGGAGCAGCTGGGACTTGAACTGGTGCCTATATGGGATGCCGGCACTGCAGGCTTACCCGCTATGCCAGAGTGTAAGTCCCAATTTCTGTTGTCTTAAACCACCAAGTCTGTGGTATATGTTTATAGCAGGAAATTAATTAAAAGTTTATATTACTTTCATAATCAGAAAAATGTTTCTGTTAATAAAAATGGTATCTAGGTTCTTTTGGACCTATACTTCTCAGCTGTCAGTTTTCCTTTACAACAAATATTCCATAATTCTACCTTTCTGATTATGAAATTAAATTCATAGATCATATAACTCACCTAAGTGATTTTAAAAATAATAAGACGATATCTGTTTTTATATAATATATAAAATATTAATTTCTTACAAAGTAACACAAATTTCATATATATAT